AATGAAAGCAAATGAGCGATTGGCAACATCAATGGTTGTTCATAATTTCAACCGAGTTGGTCATACTTTTGTCGTGTTGTGCATATGTCGTAACGTCGGAGGAGAAGACCAAATATTTAGAGTTGATTTACGACAGAAATGGTGTGATTGTGGTCATTTTCAAGCATGGAAATATCCATGTGCTCTTGCAGTCGCTGCATGTATGTATGCTGGTGTAAGCGCATACACTTATGTTGATGAGTGCTTTTACCTACGTAGGATATTAAATGTCTACAGCTATGCGTTTAGACAGATACCGAATGAATCATATTGGCCCAGAAAAGATCATGACGAATGGCTGCCAAATCCAATGCTTCGCAGAAGTCCAAAGGGTCGACCTGAGTCCACTCGTATTCATACCAGTATGGATTTCCATGCTAAAGAGAGAGGTCAAGCAAAGAGATGCGGATTATGTAGGGGTGAAGGCCATTCAAAAAACAATTGTCCTAATTTACCAAGATATAGGCCTCATCATTAGTAATGATATATGTATTTCTATGAATTTCTATGTATTTATAAGATTTAGTAATTATTAGTAATAATGAAATTGTTATTAATATTTAATGATTTGATAGTAATGATTAGTAATGATTAGTAATAATAATTTATTATTAATATTTAATGATTTGATATTAATGATTTAGTAATGATTTACGACTTGAACAATGAACAATGTTTGGTTCAATTAACCATATTTCGTTACATAACTAGTAATGAAATTATAATAATGATTTAGTAATGGTTAGTAATAATGAAATTATTATTAATATTTAATGATTTGATATTAATGATTTAATAATGATTAGTAATAATGAAATTGTTATTAATATTTAATGATTTGATAGTAATGATTTAGTAATGATTAGTAATAATGAAATTATTATTAATATTTAATGATTTGATATTAATGATTTAGTAATGATTAGTAATAATGAAATTATTATTAATTTTTAATGATTTGATAGTAATGACTAGTAATAATAATTTATTATTAATATTTAATGATTTGATATTAATGATTTAGTAATGATTTGATAGTAATGATTTACGACTTGAACAATGAACAATGTTTGGTTCAATTAATCATATTTTCGTTACATAACTAGTAATGAAATTATAATAATGATTTAGTAATGATTAGTAATAATGAAATTATTATTAATATTTAATGATTTAATATTAATGATTTAGTAATGATTAGTAATAATGAGTTATTAATATTTAATGATTTGATAGTAATGATTTAGTAATGATTAGTAATAATGAAATTATTATTAATATTTAATGATTTGATATTAATGATTTAGTAATGATTAGTAATAATGAAATTATTATTAATTTTTAATGATTTGATAGTAATGATTAGTAATGATTAGTAATAATAATTTATTATTAATATTTAATGATTTGATATTAATGATTTAGTAATGATTTACGACTTGAACAATGAACAATGTTTGGTTCAATTAACCATATTTTCGTTACATAACTAGTAATGAAATTATAATAATGATTTGATACTAAAAATCATTATAAATATGTCGAATTTGTTAAGGTTTGAAAAAACTAGTCTAATTTCAATATTAAATTTGTAACAAATAACAAACTAGTTTACAATTGTTGCCGATGTCGGGGTGTTGTTGAATGATAATGTTGGGGCGAACATCTGATGCGTTGTGGCTGTTGCGGTTGCTCAAGAGTATGGTACCCATCCTCCTCATTCGTTGGGGGCATTTGAACTGACATGTGTTCAAAGTCATACGTCGACGAAAACATGGGAGAGTAGATGGATGCATCAGGCTGCACAAACTCTGGTATGTATGCATCGTCGAACGGTTGTGGTGCGCTATTATCCACATCAGTCATTTCCGCTTCAGGTTGTTGAGATGAACTCACACTCCCACTTGGTAGAGAGTATTCAGCTTTACCAAATCTTTTCTTAAACCTCAAAAATTATCGCCTCTCTACAATTGTTGTCAAGAATGGCTTTTCATTATCCAAAAAATAAGCAAGGTAAGCCGAAGTCTCAAAATTAAAGTCGTCGTCTTGAATGTCGTCAAGAGTTGGCATGAATGAAGCCCTATTGTTCCAAGCATTAATGTAGGTTGCATGCTTCTCAACCCAATTAACATTTTCTTTACGACGACCATCAAATATGTGCAGCTGGTCATGCATCTCAACCCAATTCACCTGACGACGACCATCTAAGATTTGGAGGAGGTCATGATCCCATGGACTCCGCGGAATAGGTTGGTGGAAGTGGAATTGTCTCAATACTCTATCCCCAAATTGGATCTCAACAAAAGCAAAATTGATCAATGGTGTAACAGCACACCAATATTGAAACCCATCTAAAATATCGTGCTGTATCAACTCAAGTATTTCTTCATTCATGTATGGTCTCTAATTAAACTGTAAAATTACAAAAACAATAAAATTTATTTAAATCAAATAATATAGTTAATTTAAATAATAATTAAAAATAACAGATTATACATACCTCCTTTTTTGCCTTAATGTCGATCTTCAGCCTGAACTCTTTAATGTTGTTGTGCACCAACCCCGTGCCTTCAATTTTATGCCTCCATCTGTATATCAATCAAAACAAAAATATGGTCAATTTTATTTTATAATTAATATTTTATATTAAAATAGAGAATTTATATTACCTTCCGGCAAGCGGAAAGTCAACCACAGTCCGACTAATCAGTGTCAGAAACGGAAGTCTATGCCAAGCCCATGACTGTAGCAGCAACAGACATCCACCGATTTCTGCTGTATTATTATCATTCACGACTAATGACGCCTTGCACATCTCTCGATACAAGAACGCCAATATCGCCGATCCCCAGCTATATTGCCTACTATTCTCAAAATTTCTTAAAAAAAGAAGATACTGAGTGTGAACATAACTACCGGATTTATCCGGCATTAAAATACCCCCAATCAACTGTAATATATATGCTCGTGTTGCATATATAATTTCGTACTCCGTACTATTTGGTTGAAGCTGAAATTCATTCTTCAACCATGACAACCTCACACGCCACCCTTTACACTCTGGTGGTACGGGCGTTTTCCCAAGAAACAAGCTACAAAGTTGTGCCACATTATTAAACTCATGTGACATTACCACTGGCATCCCATTTGTTTGGACCCCGAGTTGCAATGCCACATCCTTTAGAGTTATCATACATTCGCCACACGGCAAATGAAACGTGTGCGTTTCTGGTCTCCAACGCTCAATCAAGGTACTGATCAAACCTGGGACCAACTTGTAATCTCACACAAATGTTACATACCAAAATCCAGCCTCCTGCAAGTTTTCTTCTATCAATCTGTGTGGCTTGGGCACTTTATGTAGCCGAAGACGAAGGACTCGCTGCTCGTCCTCCTGCAATTAAATATTTCAAAAAATTTATCACAATCATAAAATAATATTCAAATATTTATTAATTATAATTCATTAAACAAATATTTTATTCACCATTGTTCCCAAATGACTTGAAATATGTTCATTGTCAAGCCTCAACAGTGGAATTTGGTCAGCCATTGGATGAATCTGTAAAAAATATTAAACAACAATATTTAAAAAATCATTTAATATAATCTAATATAAACTAACTAACTAATTTACAACACTAAACTTTAATATAATAACTTATAATATAATAAACTAATAAACTAACAAACTAAACTTTTTAAAATATAAGTTAAACGTAAACGCTAAACCCTTAAACAACTAATAAAATATTCTTTTATATAACTAAAACTAATAAACTATTTTTTCATTATAATATACTACTAATAAACTTACTAACTAATTTTTTTATATAATATAAATTCAACAAACAAATATAACTAAACTATTTAACTACCACAAACTAATTAAATAATATTTTTATATAACTAATGATTAACAAAACAAACTAATTAATTATTTTTTAACTATATAACTATCAAACATACTAATTAAATAATTTTTTATTTATGTATAATATAACTTACACTAACAATCATATAACCCTAAATTAACAAACTAATTAACTGATTTTTGTTTTACCATAAACCCTAAACTAACAAACTAAACATTTATAATAATAAACTAATTTAAATAAAAAAAAATACCTCACAAGAGCCTTATCTCCCTTTCTTCTTCTTCCTTTCCTTTCTCCCTTTCTTTCTTTCTCGGCTGCAATTTCTTCTCCCTTTCTTTTGCTGCAATCTCTTCTCCCTTTCTTTCTTTTATGTTCTCACGATAATGCACACCCCATATATAATTTAGGTGTCACCGGCTGCCTCAATTATTTCACGCTGCAATGGTTCAATAATTGCACCAATAATTCACGGCTCAAATGGTTCACATGCATGCATTGCTGCATGAAGCAGGTGATTTCACGCTGTAGGCATGCAGCGGGAGTAGGAGGGGAGCACGTGAAGGAAAGCTTGTCGCCGGGACTGCTTGGCGACCTACAAGGTCGCTGGGAGTGCATGGCGACCTTGTAGGTCGCTGGGAGTGCATGGCGACCTTGTAGGGGTATTGGGGAATGCATGGCGACCTGTGTTGGGGTGTTGGGGACGTGAATGTGCCATGCAGACGTCCATTATCTCTGTGCAGCTCCCGGGAAGTCATGGCGACGTAGTAGGTCGCCCGGAAGGCATGGCGACCTACGGTCACACTGTTGATTTCACCTATTTCAACAAATAATATAGGGAGTGCATTAAATCGTGAATTATTTATTTTGAAAGCATTATATCGTGAGTTTAGCCATGATATGAACATATTCTTACAAAAGTGACGTGGTTATGATTTAACCCTCCTAGAAAACAGATACTACAACCATAAAAAACAAACCTCACTGCCCTCCGTACATTACTGCCACCCACGACCATTTCAATTCCCATTCCGACAAAGCCATGCAAAAACAGACCCACTGAAACTCTCCTCGTGATTTTCAGCCATGGAAGACAACAGCTCAGTGGTGGAGGCGCAGAAACCAGAGAAAGAAACCCAGGAGATAAAAGATAAAGGAGATCCCCAGACCAAATGTGCCCTGGAAAAAGCCTCCCAGGATATCGATGGTTTATTGTCAAATCTCTCCACCCAGAACGAGATCCCCGACTTCGTCGACAAGTATCTTGATCTTGCCGATGACAAAATATCTAGCCATGAATCGATTCTTGAAGATAATGGATCCTTTCTTAAACTTGTGAATCAGATATCAGAACTGTACAGGAACCTATCCGATTCGGGTTCCAATCACGGTGCTTTGATCAACCGCATTGGTAAGATCCAACAGCGAGCAATGTGTTATTTGGAGGATGAATTCATGTCTCTCATGGAAGAATCAAGAACCAAGGATTCCCAGGCTTCGGATCAGTCCGGCGAAGATCAATCGGCTGATCATCATTCGAACGGTGAACAAAACTATCCCGGTTATTCTCATCAAGTGTTGACCACCTTGAATAAAATTGCAAAGGAGATGATCTTAGGAGGATATGAATCTGAATGCTACGAGGCTTACATGATTACCAGGAGGAACATAATTGAAGAGGCATTGAACAAGCTTGGATACGAGAAGATCAGCATTGACGACGCTCAAAAGATGCAATGGGAAGCATTGGAAAAGGAGATTCCTCCATGGATCAAGGCCTTCAAACAATGTATTAACCTCTACTTCTCTGGAGAGCGTAAGCTGGTCGAAACCGTCTTCTCCGATTACCTTTCCTTATCGTCCACCCTCTTCAGCAACCTCGTTAGCCGCGTGTTTATCCAGCTTCTCAATTTCGCCGAAGCGGTTGCCACCGTTAAGCGTTCAACGGAGAAACTCTTCAAATTTCTCGACATATACGAGACGTTGCGTGGTAACATTTCCGCCATCGACAGCATGGTAGCTAAAGAATGTGCTGAGGTACTCTGGAACGAAACGAACAGGACTCGTTGTCGGATCGGAGAGACCGCCATTTGCATCTTCTGTGACCTTGAGAATGCAATCCAGTCCGATACCGGAAAAACCCCAGTTCCCGGCGGAGCGGTTCATCCCTTGACTCGCTACACCATGAATTACGTCAAGTATGCATGCGATGAGTATAAGCAAACCATAGAGCAAGTTTTCAAGGACCATTCCAAGACTGAAAGAGCAAGAAGCAGGCCAAGAAATTATTTAGGTGACTCAGAAAAAGACAAGGAAGAAGACGATCAATCACCATTTGTGGGACAAGTGTTGAAAATACTGGAATTACTGGATTCAGCTCTGGAAGCAAAGTCCAAGCTTTACAAAGACACGGCATTGAGCTGCATTTTCCTGATGAACAATGAGCGTTACATGTTGCAGAAGATCAAAGCCTCGGCGGAGCTCCACCAGGCAATGAGAGACACATGGTGCCGTAAGACATCGTCGGAGCTTAGGAACTACCACAATACATACAAGAGAGAGACATGGATGAAGCTTTTGAGTTGTTTAAACGTGGAAGGATTGAATGTGAACGGGAAGGTGGTGAAACCGGTACTGAAAGAGAGGTTCAAGAGCTTCAACGCCATGTTCGATGAAATCCACAAGACTCAAAGCTCGTGGGTGGTGAATGATAAGCAGCTGCAATCGGAGCTAAGGGTTTCAATATCGGCGATAGTGATACCTGCTTACAGATCATTCTTGGCCAGGTTTTCAGGAACATTGGATCCTGGAAGACAAACGGAGAAGTACATAAAGTTCCAGCCTGATGACATAGAGGCTTGCATTGAGGAATTGTTCGATGGAAACTCTGGTTTAATGGCGAGGAAGAAAACATAATGAAGGAATGAAATTCTGGTTTTACAATGAGCATGGGAACTTCTCAATTTCATTCTTGTAATCTACTTTTGATTCCTTCTTGCATTTTCTTTCAAAGTATTGTATGAAGAACTTTTGTGATTTTTTTGTTCAGAGATTGGTATATGATGTAGGTTGGTTGGGGCACGCCTTGTTGATGAAGGCCGGGATGAATAAGTGGTTGAATAGTATCACATTAGTATCACACATATTTTAAATAAGAGTAAACTACACATTTAATACTTACACTATCAGTTTTGATCCACTTTAGTATTTAAACTTTTAATTTTTTTTCAAAATCATACCTAAAATTTAATTTTTGTTTCATTTTAGTACCCTTCGTTAAGTTTTGATAAGAATGAAAGTCTAGGTACCAAAATACGTTTAGTACCTAAATCATACTTAAGTTTTATTTTTTAAAATTTAGGTACTAAAACAGATACTTTAGGTACTAAATGTGTTAAGTTTTTAACGATGATGTATTAAAATGAAACAAAAAGCAAAATTTATGTATGGTTTTGAAAATTTTAAAAGTTTAGGTACTAAAACGAATCAAATCTGATAGTTTACATACTAATAAATCAAAACTATAATTTAGATACTAAATACATAATTTACCTTATTTTAAATAGAGTGTAAGTAAATGTAGTCCCATAATTCAAGTCCCAACTCCCAAACATGGCCTAGGACTATAAATGAGCAGAGCTCTAGCTCGATCTCAACTTGAAAAATATAAAATTAAATTTGATTTGATTTGAAAATTTACAACATTAAAATTATTAAGTCCAATTCAAACTCGAAATAAAAAATTAAAATTCGTGAATTTGAAATTTTTAAATTTGACTCAAGCTCGAAAAAATTTGAATTCAAAATATTTTCAAACTTAACTCAATTGAAGCTTAAACTCAAACTCAAACATAAACATTAAGTATATGAAATGCTTAGATTGTATATTTTAAAAAAATAATATATAAATGTTAATATTGTTTATAATTTAATTTAAAATATAAAAATTTAGGCTTAATATAAAAATAAATGTTCAAATTATATTGTTTTTCTCATTTAAATGTTTAAACTACTTTTTGGTCAATTTATATACCTAACATTACAAACGTTGTCATTTTTAAGTTATGACGTTAAAAAATTATGTTAAGTGATATATGTTATATTCCGATAATTTTAAAAAAATTATTTTAAAAATAAATTATTGTATTTACGATCATAGCACTTACAATGATAATGTTTGTAATATTAGATACATAAATTGACCGAAAAATAGTTTAGGCACCTAAATGAAAAAACGATATAGTTTGAACACTTACTTTTATATTAAGCAAAAATATTAATATCTTATTTTTAAGTTATTCGCAAATTTTTCGAGTTAAATATATTATAAAGTAATTCATTGATACAAGTTAAGAATTTGAACTCGAGTTTAAATTGAGTCAATTTAATTTAAAAATTAACTAATTTTAAATAGATCTTAAATAACTCTCTATCTATGTGTCTCACTTAACTATCTAACCCTGCGCTGCAATACATCATCTCTTATCGTCTCCTCAAAGGCCAAAGCAAAGCTTTTACAGTGTCTTAAGCCTACGCTTCCACCCAACCGTTCAATTCCTCCTGTTAACCTTCTGCAAAACAACCCTACTTTCATAACTAAACCCTAATCCCAATCCCTCTCCATGACCACGGCCATCCACCAACTTGTTTGATTCTCGCCTTTGCCTTTTACTGGTTCGCTCTCTGTTTTTTGCTGGGGTTTTCTTAATTTTACTATTCTTCTGTTAATTTTATCTTTTGATTGTCTCATAACTAATTCTTGCTTCAAGTTCGTTTGCATTTTTAAGCATAATAGTTTATTATGTAGCTTAAGGACTTCAGTTTAAGGAGACTCGCATTCAATGTTCTTATTTTATTTTTTCATTTTCGTTTAATTATCATTATTCCATAATATTCCTCGACTAATGAACCGGTAAAAGCAGAGAAATAAGAATAGTGTGTTCTGATAAGTAGTACAAAGATAAAATTTGAATAATTCCATGGAAGAAAAGGTGGAAATTTGGATTAATTTCAGGAATACAGACCTTTGATTAATTTGTATTGGGGCTTGCAATTTAATATGGTTATGCTTTGTTAGTCTTATGTTTTTACAGTTTATCCAGTTGAATGCAAATTAACTGTTGCTCACTTGTCCTTCGTCTTACTGCAGCTCGATTCCTAAGGTTGCATTTTGAAGGTCTGCCCTGTTTGTTATTGTGTGTCAGCCTGAGCCATCAATAGCAACAATGGGCAGTTCATTTAATCCCCAAATTTTGGTAGAAAAGCTAGCCAAGCTCAATAATTCCCAAGCAAGCATAGAGAGTATCCTTTCTAAAAATAATTGTGTACTACATGCTTCTTTGCTTAGTTATGACAGATCTTTTTTTTGGCTGGTTTTGCTTTCATTACGGGAAGTCTTTTCCTCGCATTTCAGGCGAATTAGTTGAGCATATACTTGTTTTATTACTTCTCAAGCATAACTTACTACCGATGCCTGTTTGATAGTGCTATCTAGTTGCCATGTAAGTTTCAACAAATGAACTTCTGAAGTTTATTTTTGCACCCTTAACTCGGTAAGCTTTATCACATTGGTGCATTTTCCATATGAATAAGGCAAAACAGGTCGTTGAAACTTGGAACAGACAATTTCATTGCTCTCCACGCGAGCGGAGATTGGCCTTTCTGTATCTTGCCAATGACATTTTGCAGAATAGCAGGCGCAAGGGTTCGGAATTTTTCGGTGAGTTTTGGAAGGTTCTTCCTGATGCTCTTCGTGATGTGATCGAAAGTGGGGATGAGTTTGGAAGGAATGCTGCATTGCGTCTGGTATAGTCACCTTAACTTTCATACAGTTCTTGCTTTTGTATGCTCTCATTCCAATCTTTGTGACGGGTTGAATGTGTATAACAGCCACTCTATTTCTATTTTTATTACTTGAATTTTTCTAGATCTGGTTAACTGGCTTGGTGTTTATTTCAGTGTTTGGCATGCCTAATTCGTGACAATTGAATTGCTGTTAATGGCACAGTAATCGGACAGTGCCTGCTATTCTATTTTCATTTTATTGCTGCATTGTGGTCGGTTATATTTTTTTGTTTCAGAAACATATGTTTGCTTTAAATCTGTAATGTCATACTGTCTCAGAATGGTTGCTCCGAAAATTAGCATGACATTTTACTTTTCTTTTTGCTGTACGAAATGCAGATCAGTATATGGGAAGAGAGAAAATTATTTGGTTCTCGAGGACAAATTCTTAAGGAAGAGCTTTTTGGCAGACAATCAGAAAGTAGTAATGTAAATGTCAGGCACATAAGCCTCAAGCTGGTGAGATTAATTCCATGCTGACTGCATTTTTTGATGCATTTATATGTCTGTGTCATGGCCTAATGTCATTTCTGCTTTATATCCGTGCTAGCAGAAGCAGCCTGTTGGAAATGCAGTGGAAAAAATAGCTTCAGGCTATAATGCTCTCTATGGTAGTCAGATGGATGAAGATGTTATACTCAGCAAATGTAGGAACGCTATTAGTTGTATCGAGAAAGTAGATAAGGAAATTAGTACTGATGTCAATTCAGGTATGACCTGCATTGCTCAATATTGTTAGCATACAGGGATTATACCTTTAGCTGCTCCATGGGAAGTTGGTAAATTCAACAATTGTTCACGATCCTTGTTTCATCTTTCGTTCTTTAAGATAGAAAATTGCTGTTCGACCAATATTTGGAATATCTCCGGACTTGATTATGAAATACAAATTAGGATGTTTCCCCCCTAAAATGTCCAATTTCTTTGCACAGGTCAGTTCAGTGGATCGGCAAGTGTGGAGGAGGTGAAAAGTCAGTATGCTGTATTGAGAGTGTATTGAGCAGCTAACCGCTGTTGCATCGTCAAGAGTTAGCCTTGTCTCACATTTGAGAGAGGCTCTTCGGGAGCAGGTTACTTAGACTGATCCCTTTAGAGTAACATTGTGGCAATGTTAACATAATACTGATTTACTTTTGCTGTCAGGAATTCAAGCTGGAGCAAGTTCGTTATCAGCTTCAGGTTTGACACTATTCTAATCTCATATTTTTAAGTATAATTGTTGAAATTTTGAACTCTTCGCTTCTATATCACCTCTTCAGTTAACATTATCGCAACTTCTATACATTACAATCAACAGGCTGCACAGTCCCGATCAGAACAGGCGGGTAATATCTGCAGGCAGTTATTGAATTGTGACAATCCCGAGTTAGTATCTGAGCAAAGTTCAAAGGAGTCTCACACATCCATTATTCCTCAAAGTTTTATTCCGGCATCTGACAAGCATCTTTTCCTGATAATTCCGTCCACATCGAGGAAGGTCCTAAGAAATCTGCAGCTGCTGCAGTGGCAGCAAAGCTAACTGCTTCAACATCCTCAGCCGAGATGCTTTCCTATGTCCTCTCTTCCCTCTCTTCTGAGTGTGTCATTAGAAATCCTATGAAAGAATCTTCTGGTGATTATCCTTCCGAGAAGAGGCCTAAGCTAAAGAACGATGAGCCATACATGCCATCTCAGAATGTTGCGGTTACCACCCAGCAGTTAACTCCAAACGAAGTGCCACCACCACCTCCTCCATCATCATCTCCTCCACCTTTGCCGCTGCCGCCGGCAATGACACCATTTGCTGTGTCCCAGTACATGCCACGTGCTGGATCGGTAAATGGTGCTGCATATAACCATGGCATGGCCCCATCACAGCAGCCTTCCTTGCCCGGTTATTCAACGGGTGGGGGCGCTATGACTGGCATCTCCCGATTTCCGACATCATTAACTAACAATTCTTACCAGAGCTTCCAAGGCTCTGAAGGTATTTACAACCAACCGTCATCTGTGCCAACGGCACCGAATTCTCTGCAATAGAACATTTTAGGTTCCGTTTGTTTCACTGAAAACAGTTTCCGAAAATAAAATTTGAAAA